GGTGTTCCAACTTGCACAGAGACAGCCATGGATGCACTCACACAAAGGAGTGACCCTGCAAAGAGGCAGCCAGATGGAGGCCATTAGCACACCCAGCAGGAAGACCCCAGATGCAACCAGACCTGCACAGATCCAGGCCCTGGTTGGTGCCCCCAGGCTAAGGCAGCCACACCCAGAGATGGCAACAATAAACCTTCAGGCCTCTTAGCCCTGGATTTCCAGGCCCTGGCCAGTGTCCCATGATGGCAGCAGCTGCATGTGACCAAACCTGTGGGTACCCTGAAAATGGATTTCCAGGCAGCAACAGGCAGCAGGCACTCCTCAGACAGTCTGTGGGCAGTCTGAAGGCAAACAGTGGGTATTCAGTGGATGGATGTCAGGCAGAGGGTGATGGGCAGGCTAAAGGCAGGCAAACAGGCAGCCAGTGGGCAGTTGGCAGTGTCAGGAAGATATCTGCATGCAAAAGGCTGGTGATATACTGGCAAAGGGCTAATGTTCACAGTGGACAAACAGAGGTCAAAGAGCAGGGGAGTGGGCAGTGAGAGCTCTTGCAGAGAACCAGTATTTCCTCTGCCTGAATCCCATGTCACAGAGCAACAAGGAATGCATCCTCCCTCTAGTATGATATTTTAGATCTCCTTGTTTGGTTTTTGATAATAACCATAGTATCTATGGTGAAATGGGATCTCACTACAGTTTTGATTTGCATTGCTCTGATGTCTAAAGTTATTGAGCATTGTTTTCATATATTTATTGACCATTTGTATATMTTTTGAGACATGTATATTATGTCATTTTTGTTTGTATTACTTTTTGTTGATTTGAGTTTTTCATGTATTCTGGATTTTAATATTCCATCAGATGCTGACAAAGATTTTTTCCCATTTTGGAGATTGTGTCTTAACTCTGTTTAATGTTTCATTTGCTGTCAGAGGCTTTTTACTTGATGTAATCCCATGTGTTAATTCTTGTTTTTATTTTCTGAGCTACTGGAGTTCCATCCAGGAAACCATTGCTTCTGCCAATGGCTTGAAATGTTTCTCYTGTTTTCTTCTAGTAGTTTCAGAGTTGTAGTTCTAACATTAGCACTTTGATCTATATTTAGTTGATTTTTTACAGGGTGAGAGAGGAGGGTTAGTTCTAATCTTCTACATGTGAATATCCAGTTTTCCCAGTACCATTTGTTGAAGAGATGGTCCTTTCACAATGTGTGTTTTTGATAGCTTTGCCAAGAATTGGTTGACTAAAGATGTGTAGATTCATTTTTGTGTCCTCATTTTTGTCCTAGTTTGTTTACATATCTACTTTTATGGCAATATGCTGTTTTGTTATTATGGCTCTGTAGTATGTCTTAAAATTAGGTATTGCGATGCCTCCAAATTGTTCTTTTTGATCAAGATCGATTTAGCTGTTCAGGGTTTTTGTGCTTCCATATAAATTTTAGGATTTTTTCTCTTGTTTTAAGAAAGAATATCATTGGTATTTTGATGAGAATTACATTGAATCTGTAGATTGCTTTGGGTAGTGTGGCAATTTAACAATTATTCCTTTCAATCCATGAACATGGTAAGTCTTTCCACCTTCTATTGTTTTTCTCAGTTTTTTTTTTTTTTTTTTAGTGTTTGGTAATTTTCACTGTACATAACTTCCATCTTTTAGTTTTATTCCTAGGTATTTTGTGTATACTTTTGTGGCTATTGTGAACTTCTTGATTTTTTTCTCAGCAACTTTATCATTGGGATACAGAAGAGCTACTGATTTTAGTGTATTGCTTTTGTATCCTGCTACTTTAMTGAATTTGTCAATTCTAAAGGTCTTTTGGTAGAGTCTTTAGAACTTTCTCTGTATAGAATCATATCATCAACAAATAGATAATTTGACATCCTCCTTTCCTATTAGTATGGTTTTTATTTTATTTCTCTTTCCTATGTGTGCTCTGATTGAAATTTTGAGCATTATATTGAATAAGAGTAGTGAGAGTGGACACTTGATCCTGATCTTGGAGGAAATACTGTCAGTTTTGTCTATTCAGTATGTTGTTGGCTATGGTTTTGTCATAAAGAGTCTTTATTTTGTTAAGGTATGATTCTTCTATCCCCTGTTTATTCAGTACTTTCATCACAAAGGGATATTGAATTTGGTCAAAGACTTTTTGTGAAATTATCATGTATTTTTATCCCTGATTCTATTTTTGTGCTGTATTACATTTATTGATTTGCATATGTTGAACTATCCTTGCATCTCTGGAATGAAATCAACTTGATCATCATTTTGAAATGTGCTGTAAAATTTGGCTTGCAACTATTTTATTTAGACTTTTTGCATGTATATCCATCAGGGATATTGGTGTATAATTTTCTTTATTTGATGTGTCCTTAGGTTTTGGTAGTAGGATAATATTGACTTCATCGAATGAGTGTAGAAGAGCCCACTCACTTTATAGTTTATGGAATCTTTTGAGGAGCATGGGGATTAGTTCTTCTTTAAAAGTCTGATGAAATTCAGCAGTGAATCCATCTGGGACTGGGCTTTTCTTTGTTGTGAGCCTTTTTATTACTGCTTCAATCTCATTACTGTATGTTGATTTATTTAGGTTTTTTATGTCCCSTTGGTTTGATTTTGGTAAATCTTATGTGTCTAGAAATTTGTCAGTTTCTTCTAGATTTACCAATTTGTTGGCAAGTAGTTTTTCAAAATATTCCCTAATGATCCTTTTTAAATTCAATGGTGCCTATTTTAATGTCTCCTTATTAATGTCTAACTTAATTAGGGCCTTCTCTTTTAATTAGTTTAAAATCAAATTGTCAATTTTACTTATCTTTTCAAGAACCAACTTTGTTTATTCAATCCTTTGTATTATTTTTAATCTTTATTGCATTGAGTTATGCTCTAATCTTATTATTTCTTTCCTTCTACTGGTTTGGGGCCTTGTTTGTTCTTGTTTTTCTAAGACCTTTAGATGCATCATTAGGTTATTTATCTGAGATCTCTCTATTATTTTAATGACAGCACTCCTTGCTATAAACTTCCCTTTCAGTGCTGCTTTTGTTATATTCCACAAGTTTCGGTATATGAKGTTGCAATTTTTATTTGATTCAAGATTTTAAAAATTTCCCTCTGATTTCTTCAATGACCCAGTTCACCTAATAGTATGTTGGTCAATCTCCATGTTTCTGTCTAATTTCTGAAATTTCTCTTGCTGTTGATTTCTGGTTTCATTCCATTATGGTAGAAAAGGTGAAGAAATTATTTCTTTTTTTAAATTTGATAATACTTACTTTGTAGCTTTCATATTTCTTGTGTTTCTGTATTGAGATTTGCACATCTATTGAAATGGAAACTTCTTTCACTTTTATATGAGGCCTTCTGATGATACATATTAGGGTATCTGTTTTGTACTGTTGAATTTAATTCCATTAGACCTCATAGTTTAATCTCCCTGCAGCTTCTTTGCTGTGATTAGTGGGTTTTGACATAATGTATCAGAGCCTAAGGGACCTACTTTCTCTAATGGTCTTCCAAGAGTGGGGTCACTTTGGTAATTTAGATAGGTGTGGTATATGTAGATGGCAGATGATATGTAATTCACTTTCTGTTGTTACTCCTGCAATGGAAGTGGTTGTCCTATCAGGTGGTGGGTGTTGCCATGTGCACTGTCAATTATGGCTCTGTTACTTGAAAAGTATTTCCGATACAGGATGTTCCAACTGAGGTGAAGGGCCTGAAGATTACCTGTTCAGACAATGGTGCAGTTTCTGATGTTTCATATGGAGAGGTAGGGACTGGGATCACAGCTCCTCCTCTGTGGCACTCACATCCAATCTTGTTAGCAATGTGTGATATGACAGGTATGATGACAGCCAATGCTGAGGACCCTCATAGACGCAGTGTCCACAGGAGTTTTTTTATTTCTATTGGTTATTTCCGTAATATGACTATCAAGGAATGGGATGTCATAAGCCCCTAGCTGTGCCTCTTGGGGACTAGTCACCACCTGGAGACTTTTGTCCCTATTTTTTTTAAGTTGAAGCATCCACCAAGGTTTAACCAGGATTTGGTTGTGTCTGGAACAAGGTACAATTCCACTCAGGTAGACTTCAGTGTAGCTAAGTGTCAGATCACCCAATGTATATGAATTCCCAGGATTGATCCCCATCTCCACTAAATAAGTAAATACATAACTATATAAACCATATAAAAATAAGATAACAACAATAGCAGCAATCACCATAACAGAAAAGAAAGAGGAAAATATAGAATATGATAAAAAGATTCTTAAAAATTAAAATTAAAAAAGAAGATAATAAAGTGAAAAGGGAAGATAAAAAAATTAGAAAAAGTAGAATAAAATTTTTTAAAGGTCCAAAAATTTCTTCCCCTCTAAGATGCTCAAACAAAGGGAGGAGAGTGGATGATCACAACCTATGCCAATCAAAACTTTACTGTCTTCTTAGGCTGCACACCCCATGTACTGAGTGAGGGGCTAGGGGTTTTTCTAACCCCAGTTCTTTCCATTGTGTTGCTTACCAGGTTATAGGCAGGTGTGATCTCTGGCTGACACTAGTTAGAATTCCTCTATTTCTTTGCATTCTGAAATATGCCAAGGTCAAATGCAAAGTCATCCAAGCAATCTGTAGCTTTTTGAACTGTGCACTCTGAAGGCAGGGCAAACACTCATTTGCTTTGTTCTCTAATGTTCCAGAAATAATTATGTGAACATTTAGTGTCTAACTAATTACTAAAACATATAATTCTGCCTTTATTTGGCATATGGAACATCTGGTCTTCAGGTTGTATAAGATTATAATTTCAACCCCCATCTTTCAAATTCTTAATGCTAAGTGAATTTAGCCTATCCCCAAAAAACCAAATGTCAAATGTKTTCTTTGATATAAGGATGCTGACTCATAGTGAGAAAATATTTTGAAAAACAAATGAATTCAGAAAGCATATTTGTTCATTATTCATCAAACAATGATAAATGTTCTATTTGTTTCCAGAAAACTCTATAATGAAATTGAGAACCAAATTATTTTCTGGATCTGTGAAATCTGATAGTTTGGATGGTATAGATAAGTCTTTGCTCACCCTCATCCTCAGAAATCCTATTGCTGTCTGGGTATCTTGTGGTGAAYCATTTATACCTCCAAATGGTAAGTATTTTAATTTTCACTTTCTTTCATTTAACTGTATGAAGGTGGAGAGAAGTAAATCTTATGTCAGAACAAGAAAATGAATTAAATGTGTATAATGTCAACATAATAACATCACATTTATGCAAAGAACAGGAGGTCCATCAATTAGTATGTGCACAATACTTACATATTTGCACAATTACCAGCTTTTTCTTACTGGAATGGAGTATTCTGTGTGGAAAAAATGTCTAATTTAGTTGATAAAGAGATCCTTGGTCTATAAGACGGAGAATAATGGTATACATTAGAAAATAACAAATGAGTTTAATTCGCACTGAGGACGACCTGTCTGCACATTTTCATTTTTAAGAATTGCACCCTTTAGGCAGTAGGTGAATGTTTAAAAAATGAATGGTTCCAAGCCAGGCTTTCATCACCTCCAAATAGTTTGTGGAAGTGGAAAATGAAATATGGCTATTGCATATGGTAAATCTGTATAATAAAACAGCACTGTTCTTTTTTTCCATAAAGAAATGCCGTAAGCCCTGTCATCTTTCAAGTGAGGTTTCTTTTAATGACCCTTACCTTTTAATTACTTGTTTCTAATTGAATCTATTTATTGAAGCAGAAAGTTCTTTATAAATTATTAGTGTTCATGATAAATTACTGTTGATAAAAGAATGTAAGGTAAAATATCATGTATTCTTATTATTCTAGCGTTGCAGAAAGCAGAAAAATTAGAGAAACAGAACTGGCTAAAAAAGGACAAAATTTTGGCTGATCTAAGTACCATGAAACACAAAATGAGGCAGTTAAAAGGTTAGTACGAACTAAACCAACATGGTTGTGTTTAATTCTAAATGTAACCTCAATTTGCTGATAGTTATTTTCTACTATTAAATACCAAGAATTTAACATAAATATTGTGTTACACAGTCATTTGAGCAGAATACAAAACCTAGTAATACATTTTTATATTGATTTTATATTTGTAAATTTTATATTAACAGGAATACCATATAACGTATACATACATTTAAAAAATTAGGAGAGTATCTGTACCAGATAATCACCCTTTTGCTTTTGAAATGATTCCTAAATTAACATTTTATGGGCTTTGGAATTAGTTTTTGTTTAAACAAAACCTTTCAGTGATTCCTTGGGTATTGTTTTATTTTTGTTGTTTTTAATAATCAGAATAAGGAAGTACTAAAATCTTCAATGGTCATTGTCAATATCACAAGGACTCCTTTTTATACAACATAAGACATGCTATTTATGGTCAAAGTGATCAGTTGGCATAATTTGTCATCTTCCATTCTTTTTTTTTTTCATAGAATCTTGGGATCCTGGACTTATTCTATTTCTAGTACTTGAGATAGAAATGGTTTTTTGGAAAGAAACAATGTTCTGGAGACTTTAGATGAGGAAGGTAGAATTTATTTCAAGCTTCATAATAGCAGAATTTTAACTCAAGKATCTTGCTTCAATAAGTAGCACAAATTACAGCACAAGTCAGATCTCTGATTTGAAATGGCTACTGTCCATTTCTTACCAAAGCCATATTGATTGGCTATAAGTGAAAAATTTCTGTTACTACTCACAGCCTCTTCTGCTCCTACKTCTAGACATTTTAAAGTTCTATGGACATGTCCAAAACAAAATCTATCACATCCCTCCTATATCAGTGCATCTTTGTTTCCTCTAGCAACACATTCTACTACCATCTACCCAGCTGCTATGTCACAGAAGCTGGGAAGTTATTCTTGGCATCTCCTTCTCCCTCATCTTTCCCAAGAAARTATTTAGCAAGTCTTCTTACTCTGAATCTGTTAAGTTGATCTCAAATGATTTTAACCCTTCTACAATTATTATCCAAGTTCAAGCATGTAATATCCAGTCCTTAGATTACTGAAACAGTTTTCAAACTGGTCTTCCTCCTTCTGATGACAGCAGTTACCTTTATATGAATAGTGATGATGTTCTAAAGATGAAGGGATCATGCATAAATGCAAAGGAGTCATGGTACTCCAGGTATAAAAACTTTCAAGGGTTCTATTATCTTTAGGATGTAGTTGAAGCTCCTTATATGGGTCTTCCTGATTTCATTTTCTGTGAGTTCCCCCTCTCTCTGCTCACCACACTCCAAACATCTCAAATTTATTTAAGTGCCCCAGACAACACATGCTGTCTTCCTGAAATTTGATACCCTCAGTTCCCTCTGCCTTGGTATTTTCCTTCTTCTGTCCTCTTGGATTGCTCCTACTCATTCTCTATATATTTTAGATAACTCGTTACTTCTTCCTGGAATCCTCCTCCAACATTCCAAGCCTGGGATAATGTGGTTGATAACATACTGAATTTCTCCTCTGATAGTTCTCATCACATTATTTTAATTACCTATTCATTTGACTATCTTCYTTCTATCAAATCATGAATTGTGGACCCATCTAATTTGTTATTTTAATAACTGTGGAATGATTGGCTTAACCGTGGTGACTTGCTACCRTAATTCCAGGGATTAAGAAGGCTGAGACAAGGTTGCAAGTTTGAGACCAGCCTCAGCAAATATTTGATCCCCCCAGTAACTTAGCATGTCCTTATCTCAAAATAAAAAATATAAAAATAAAAAGGACTGGGGATGTARSTCAGTGGAAAGCAGTCCTGGGTTYAAAATCCAGTACCAAAAATAAATGAATGAATGAATAAATAAAAGCAATTTCAACCATTTATTCTAGGCTCTAGGGAGTGATTCAAACTTTATTCTTAAATCAAGTTAAATCAATAGAAAGCAGCATACTGAAAAGTGCCCCTTGCAGAGCTGCCTGACTGAATTCTGATTTTATGCCATGTCTTTAGCTTTTATTACAATTAAATATTAAAAAGGCATTTGAAGTAAATTTGGAGTCATCTACAAGATTACTGTTGAAAACAGTCTTTATTTGGTCAGTTGATTTCCATTATGGAGTGATCCATCAATGTAGTTTCTCTTCTTATTTAATGCTAAGATAAATCTTGCATCTACTTACAAACTTGTATATTTTCCCRCTATTAAATATAAACTCAAAACATGTTCATAAAATACTCTGAAGAAGGCCCTTTTCTAACTGTTAAGATTATGAGGATTAAAAAAAACCCACAAATCTTATCTCTGGTAACTGCATTCCTATTAGATGGTGTGTCTCTTGAGGGTTGAATTAAAGGGGAAGTATGATAAGTATGAATAGTTGCTGAATTGACTACTTCTTATTATTATTATAGCTGTTAGTAAATGCAACAAATACCATGTGCAAAAAAACTGTGATAAATTGATTTTACATTGCATTTGTAAGTGTGATCATTGCCATTATCATTTATAGTATGAGTGATTACTTTATAGGGCTTTTATGATTAGAAAATGTCAAATATTTACTACATGGTTACAGCAAATAATCAATATTGGGATAAGGTTCCTGAGTAGACAGTCTATTTTTCCACTTGAGGTTTTAAAACTAGTAAATGAAACTCAGAAATACAAATCAGGCCTAGGTATCACCTTTGTTATACATACAGACAGTGTTGGAGCATTTCTTTTGATGTGTGAACTGAAACCCCAAATCAGGTAGACTTGTCTTTTCCAGGCAAAAAATGGTACTGAACCAGGGGTGGACCTTCCAGTAAGGGAAGGGATGAGGGAACAGGCTTAAGCAGTTAGGCTTAGAGTATGACAGAACATCAAAGCACTTATGTTTTCAAGTTTCYAAGAGAAAAGAGGGGAAAAATGGTCAAGAATTGTCAACTTATTTTTACCAATTTCCAACCAGAGAAATCATCTGCATTATCAATGGTGTTCCATCTACTTAAAATGAAACTTTTAGAAGACGGATAATAATTAGCTATTATCATAACTGACCCCTGATCTCATGTGAAATAAATAGGGTGTTTGGGAAATTTAAGAAGAAAATAAAAATAATTTATTCAATATATTTTTGCCTTTCTTTGATATATGTTGTTCTTACCTACATAAATAATAGTTTATTATAAAAACCTTTCCCCCAGTTAAAACCTTTTGTGGTGACATTATATCTCTTTATGAAAATTGTAGTGCAAATGCATGCATTTTCTTAAGACCATTAGAAGCAAGTTGACAAATAATAAATAATGCATAATATTTTTTTCTGTTTCCTATGTTCAATCCCTGACTCCCAACAGTGTAATGATAAGCTATTGTTGAACTCCTGGTTTAAAAAATTGCAATGTTTGAAATACATTTTAAATAATATATTTGTTGGAATATTATTCATAAAAATTAAATGTCATAAATTAATGTTACCTCTGTTCTATAAATAAAGTTGACTAAAAACTATAGTTAGTATAAATTTGTGTTGAGGAACTACTCTGGTTCTTTTCAAAACACATTACCTAGTGCATTGTCACTGTAACTCATTGGCTAATTGATTCAATCATGCTTTCTTCACTTTCATAAATTACGTATGAATGCATATTAGACACATAGGATTCTGGTTTATTTGAAAAATCATTGCTGCTACTTATTTTTATTTCTGAATATAGTACCATAAACTTCAGCTGTAAGTACCAATTCTTTATACTCTGCAAATGCAAATGATTTTTAAAGGATTTTGTCATAGTCTAAAAATCTGCCCATTGAGAGTAACTTGGGCATGATGCGGTGGCATATGCCTGTAATCCCAGCAGCTCGAGAGGCTGAGGCAGGAGGATCGCAAGTTTAAAGCCAGCCTCAGCAACAGCAATGTGCTAAGCAACTCAGTGAGACCTTGTCTCTAAATAAAATACAAAATAAGGCTGGGGATGTGGCTTGGTGGTTGAATGCCTCTGAGTTCAATCCCTGGTACCCTCCTCCCGAAAAAATAATTTGGCAAAAAAAAATTGAGATGCAGCTTCATCTTTTTATCAACATAATTGTTGCTTTCTCAAAGAAGCCTTCTCTGATATCTCAGACTAGGTCAGCAGCTGCTGTTACATGCTTTCTTAGTCCCTGGTACAGCACTATTGTAATGGATTTTTGGTTTAATCATTTCCTTGGATCTGCCTTCCCTACCAAACTTGAGGCATGGGCTCACTCTCAAACCTGTCTGCATTTGCATCATATTGCACAATGCCTGAACCCTAGCTGGCGCTCAATGTAGACTTCTGGAAGGAGTGTACAAAATAAAACATTAACCCAGATCCACCCACACCAGCCTGTGTGGGACCCAGGCTCACAGAAGGCCCAGGTCCACCCCTTTACCAACGGGGCAGAGACCCACCACAGCCCAGCCTCTGGCACATGACCGCCTCTTCTTACCAACAGACTATCATGGGAGCCCAGACCTGGCCTGGATCTGCCCACACCAACTTGTGCAGGACCCAGGTCCAGGGTAGGTCCAAGTTTGCCTCCTCATACCTGGGAGCCTAAGCCTAACCCACTTCCATCTTGGGATACTGCAGTCATTGCCATAGCCTTCTCCAAGCAGTAGTCCATAACTTTTTGACAGTAGACAGGACCTAGAAGCAGCTGCATCTCAGAGCAGGCATCCAAAAGAGAGTGTAAGGCCCACCCTTTCAGCCCCATCTCTGTAAGACATCGCTTCCATCTTGGGGCACCGTAACTATATCTCAAGTTACCTCAGCTATTGCTGCCTTCACCTTTAGATGCAATAGCATACATTGAGGGACACGAGCAGGGTCTGGAAGCCTADCATCAAGATGAGGTACAGACAATCTGCACAGGCACTATAAGAATATAGGGAAGAAACTGTAATATATCAGATCCACGCTGCAAGAAAGGAAGACACATAGACTACATGAAAAGACAAGAG